TTTAGGTAGATGGGATTACAGATACTTTAAAATATCTTCCACAGATGAAATGCATATTATTCCACATGTATATTTCAAAATAAGTTTACAAATTATCAAAGCATGATAAAAATGCAAGGGGAACAATTTTATTAGGAAAATATTAATGGTATAGAATTATAAAGAGTTGACATTGTAGTTGAGAAGATGGCTCAGTGGGTAAAGCATTTGTCATGCAAACACAAGGACCTGAGTTTGAATCCTCAGAACCTACATAAAAGCCAAGCATGGCAGCGTGTGTCTATAATCCCAGAACTCTACAGTGAGACGGGAGGCAGAGACAGAGAATCTCTGGGAGATCCTGAGTCATCCAGCCAGGTGTGTGCTGTGGTGAACAAGGCAAAGACTGATACCTGATATAGTCTTCTGATTTTTACATGTGCCCCATGGCACATGTGTCCACACTCACGCATAGGTACACTCACATACATGCACATACATACAAACATATACACACATGACCATAAACATATATATATATATATTCATATATTCATCAAAGGACTTAATCTCTCAAAGACAAAGATCTCTCCTTTAAGGTCGCTAAATTTTATACTTAAACGGAATGAAGAATATAATTTCTTAAGAAAAGTTACTTCTAAGGAAAGACTACTATTCATAATTTCACTAAACTTTTCCACCATCTTATATATTAGAGAGTAACAAGAATGGATTGAACTAAAAGGATCAGCGAGATCCTTCTTTCTAGAAGAATCCTTAGTCTCTTGAGCACTAAAACAATGGTCATTGCTTACAAAATCTTGCCTACCTTTTGCCTTTCCGTACTTCTGTTAAAAACCTTGTTTTACACTCTCAGGGTTCAGATTCTGAGAGCTCATAATTCAAGTCCTTCCCTGTCTCAGGCTTGCCCTGCTGATCCTTCTTATCAGGTCCCTGCAAGCAAGTCTCAGTACATACACACCATGTGTATATAGTGACTTTCTTCCCATACATGTTATGGCTGAGAAATTTCGTCATTGCCATGTCCCAACTTCAGGTTACAACACAGTTCATTTTTCAAGGGTTTGAGTTTGCTTGCTCAATGGTTAGGCATTACTTGAATGTGGAGTAGAAACATGCACATTTTGTGAACTCTAAATAATTCACAAGATTTTTTTAAAGGTTAAAGATATTTGAATATGTAAATAAGTGTTAACATATGTGAAGTTGCCTCTCCAGGGTTCAACTAAATGCTTGATTGCTCTAGACAGACCAGTTAAGACAGGGAAGGGAGGTTGCCCTGGGAGGCAGCACCACACAGCTGACTCGGGGCACCAATTTACTGTCTACCAAGTCAGATTTCTCATTTCAGATATTCTGAGCAAGTTACTTAATCTCTTGAACCCTCCTTTTCCATGTGTAAAAAGGGGAGAGCACTTATTGCAAAGGAAAATAGAAGATAAGACAAGGGCAAAATCCTTGGCCCATGTCAGCAGCCGCCTTTCCCTGGAATTCTTGCTATTCAGGGTCTGAGTGGTAGACCGGAAATGCCTCAAAAGTGCGGAAATGGTAAAAATGGACAGGGATTTCAGGCACACCCTGGTCAATATGCAATTTTAAAACTGGGAGAACACAAGAAGTGTTTTCTAAAAATGTGATATATCATCATCGTTAAGAAAGTGGTCCAAAGTACTATATTTCAAGATAGGTCAAAATAGTGGTTACTTGTGATAAAAGAATCAGTCCAGGGCTAGCCTTAACTCTAGTTGCTGTCTTTGATTTGTGTCATAACCAGTTCAGCCAGTGAAATTGTAACTGAGTTTTAGGCTAGAACAAAAGATCTTGAACATTTGATCATTATGTATACATGTATATATACATACGTATATAAAGTTTACAACTCTAATAATAAGTGGTAGTCTGAACTAGATTGTGGTAACTAAATTATATCACTTAATATAGATCATGCAGAGAAATATTTTCTACTTACACTGTGAAAGCATCCTTACCTGCACATTGGAGACAAGTCTGCAAGCTTGGGGAGAGGTGGTCTGAGGGTCTGAGGCTTCTGAAAGACATTTTGCTATGGTGATATAAGCATGGATTAGAAGGAAGATAGACTTAGGTTCATAGAATACTCTGAAGTTTTATAACTTTAGACAATTTGTCTTTGTTTTTGGTTTTGTTTCCTAATCTGTGATAAGGGAGAAACTAGCTACCTGAGAATTTTTTCATGTATTAAGTGATCTCTCTCTCTCTCTCTCTCTCTCTCTCTCTCTCTCTCTCTCTCTTGCTCTCTTTCACTCTCTCTAGCTCTCACTCTCTCTCCTCCTATCCTCTAAATAGCACAGCATTCATTTAACCACTGCTTCCTTCTTTTTCCCCTTCCCCAGAACACAAACAGTGCTGTTTCTCTAAGACAGTAAAACTCTCTATAACTTTCTATCGGCTGAATGATTAGCATCTTTTTGGCATCATATTTATTTTGTTTTTTAAGAATTGATTTGTAAACATACAAATCTCAGAATTCTCAGCCCATCCTTTTTGCTTTTATGGGGTCAGAAACACAAGAGTCTTATTTCACAGAATATTTTGAAATTTCATGACTAGTTTCATTAACATGAATAAAATAGACTGAAGGTTAGAAGAGACATACTGGTTGTGTTGGGATCAGGTCAGAGGAGAAGGACGCATGATCGTGGAACCCAAGACAAGACGCTCAGTCGGACTGCAGGAGTCCTCCCCTTTCTTTGCTGTTTCTAAGTACTAAGCAACCATGTTTTCTATTTTCTTTGATTCAACCAAAGTAATATTAGATTCAACTTATATCTTCAGCTTTTGTCTAGACCTGTGGAGAAAAAAAGAAGCCTTGGTTGAATCAAAGGGCAGTTTGTAGTACCAGGAGACGGCTTCCAGTGGTGTTGGTCCCCAGTGCCCCCATCCTCCTGGAATGTACTTACCCATGGAGTGCTGTCCACAGAACTCTAGGCTCTGTTCCTTGAAGTGGTCAGCTCTTATCTGATGCCTGGACTAATTTGATTGGCAGCCCTGGGGGAAAGCCATGCCCCTTGATCTCGCTCCTCTCCTTTATCTAGATTCTGAAAACAGCCAGTTATTTCCCAAGGGCTACACAGATAAAATTGAACACTTCCCTCTGGACTTTTAGTTATCCTCTTAGGAGCAGTTTTCACTCCCCGTCCACTCCACTTCCAAGGACTAGAATAGAGACTTTTATTCCCAGCCCTCTGCTGGGCTCTTAGCTGCTGCCGGGTTTGACTGCCCTGTCCTGGGCCCCAGGTACTCACAGACTCCAAGGGTCATACTAAAAGAGTTTGCAAGTGAAAGGCATGGGGGAACTACTAGGTAGTTGTATAAGTAATGCACACTTTTGGTTAGTCACGGCTTCTATTAAAAAAGCATTAAGAGGGGATGGGAGATAGCTCAGTCAGTAAAGGGCTTGCCTTGTAAGCATAAGGGCTTGAATTTAATTCTTAGAACCCATGTAAAAAAGCCAGAAGTAGTGCCACATAATTGTAATTCCAGAGCTGGGGCAGTGGGGATAGGCAGATGGATTCCTTGGTCCTTACTGGCCACCCAACTTTGTCTACTTGGTGAACCGCAGGCCAATGAGAGATCCTGTTATAGAAAATAAAGCAGATGGCACCTGAGGAATGACTCCTGAGGTTGACCTCTGGCCTCCACACGGACACACGCACACACACACACACACACACACACACACTCGTGCACCTATACACATGGAAACCACTACACACATGATCATGTGCACACACACGTACAGCCCCCCCCAAGCCTTAATACAAAGTCTAGCCTCGAAGAAAAAAATATGAATATTAACCTTTAAGAATTCTACTTAAAAAAACTCATTTTTATTTAAAATGAATAGTTACAAGTTGAAATAGTTGTGTGTGGTTAATTTATTTTACCTTCCTAGTGTGGTAGGAAGCTTAATTTGAATTTTTCCCTTATAT